ATTTTTGAAATTATCGCATTTGAGACTATTTACAAAATTGAATTGCGATAACTGTAATACTGAGAATTTCAAATAAGGCGTGTGAATGTGATGCGTATTGCATTCACTTAAAATACAGTTAAATTTATTTGAGAAAAGGAAATATTTTTGAGTTATAAAAGCTTAGTTTATATCCAAACCTCATTTTATTTGAGTTCTTCTATACATATTTTAGACTTTTTCGAATCTTATTACTTATTCTAATTGGTATTTATACAAACCTCTTACCACTAAAAGTTTTTATTTTTCAAAACAAATATTGCACTGTGTTAGCATTAAGGCGGAGTGATATTACATTTTTGTAAAATAATAGAAATTCAAAACACGTTTTTTTTTAAGAAAAAATTAAAAATTAGAAATATTATGCGACTTTTAAAACATATTTTGGAAGTGCTTAAAGAGGTATTCTTGTTTATGTGGTCTATGTATAAATACTTCAAAATTAAAAAAGAAAATATTTATGGAAAAAAAATAAATATCACAAATTTGTTAAAAAAAAAATTAAATGAAGAATAAAATGTCTGCAAAATATCCGGAACTTAAAAAAGATAGAATTTTACAGTAATATTAACTATTATTTTTTTTTAAATAGTCAAAAAATTATCTATTTCTACCATAAAAATATATGTAAAGAATATTAATGCCAAATTTCAAATGAATTGTCTGATTAGAATAGATATTTTTTGAAACTTCAACGAAAGTTATCGTGAGAAAATGTGTTTAAAATGTTAGTTCTGACCAAGCCGGCCGAGCTGCCACTACACTAAAATGGCTGTAACTTGTACAATACAAGTAGTTTGAGCTTCGAACAACCTTTTGACTCAATATTGATTTTAAAATTTTTTAAATTTCGGAACTAAAATGCCGCCTAAATTCCAAGCAAATTTCAACCAAAAGCAAAGTACATTTAATTCCTCAGTATATATATTCATTATATTCCGTGATTATAACTACTTTTAAAAGTCAATATTTAAAACTGGATAGCTTAACATCACTGGTATTAATTAGAGTTCTTAAAACTAGTTAAATTATATCTGAGCTAAGGAGTAATCTGTTTGCAGTTAAAAAGGTAGGAATCAGTAAAAACTACCTAACAAAGATGTTCATAATAGTTTTGACCTATATTTATTATTATTTTGGTTTTTTGCTTGTGCAATCATATTGAAATGATTACCAAAAAGTGACTAAAATTTAAGTAAATTTCTGAAGGAGGAGTGCTCCGCATCACAATATAACCCTATATTCGATAATTACAAAAAATAAGTTCTTCAGATTACCTTACTACATATTGTCGACCTTACTACATATTATCGACCTTACTACATATTATCGAGGTTAACGTGAATACTATATTTGTTTTAATTGAAATATTCTTAGTTAATTTACCCGCTGATTTAATTCTTCTTCAATTCACTACAGATCTTTACAAAAACATCAAACTTACTTGTTGTGTATAATCGTTACAAATACTAGGGAATCTACTCATAGGTATATTGGATACTCTAAACGCCAATCTATTGACGCATTTCGTTAATTTTTATTTAAATTAGAACACTGAAAGTATCAGACTATGGTATACGATTACAAAAAATTAAAATGGTGTAAACTCCAAGTATCCTCAAGCTGTACTCCTCTTTTACGGCAACATCAGCGTTTAAATAGTGATATTTCATTTGTCGGTAGCTAAAGGGGGACATAGGGCTAGGCCAGGGTTTTCTCAAAAATGTTTATAAATTTTATAAGTGTATATGGACGCTTTGGACAATATTTTTTACTCGTACACATATTTATGTATCTACTATAATGCTGAGGAATTACTTTGAAAACCACCGAAGATATTAGCGAACCCATATTACATTCTGAAAGCTGATTTTTCCCCTGAAATCGAACGAGGTTAGAAATTACTTTTATTATATGTATGTATATGAGAAACATTGTTATAAAAATATATCAAATAGATATTTTTACAGGGGTCAAAACAAAAAAGCATGATATTTTTTCCAATTTTTTAAATTTTTCGGCGGAAAGAAAATTTAAAGAAAAAATTTTATGTTCATATAGAGCCGGGTACTATATACCATACTACTATAATATAGAAGAAGCCATTTTTTAAAGCGATAGCTTAAAATCTTTTCAAACTTGGACGCTCTGAGAGATAGTTACTCCATTTAATGGCTTATAACAGTAGAACGAGACGGAATTTTCATTTAAAAATTTGAGAAAATATTTTTTATTAGTTTTAATTACAATTTATTAAATAAAAATTGACTGACCTAACCGTTTTCCCCACTTAGACCATGCTGGCTTCTATTAAAAAGAAAATTGATTAAAAAAGAAGAGTTCTTTCTGTTATGAGACAATTTAAAAAAAAAAAAAACTGATAGATTTTAATGAGCGCATTATACTATATATGAGAAAATTTTTTCATACAATATTTTTAGTCTTAGACACTCTAGTTCTTACTAGTCAACTCTTCCGGTAACTCGTCTGCTCTTCGCCTGCCACTAATCCTGCAGTATAATTAACATCGTCAAAATACTGCCACAAAACGATTGCCGGCAGCAGCATGTGTCCATGTTGTCAACGACATAAATTTCAAAATTCTCAAATTCACAAAAGAGTGGCAAATGGCGACGACAAGCAGTGACACAAACCACTTGCTCGCCAACAGCGCACGAAATGCAAAGCTGCACAGGCACGCATATACATAGCGATTTGTATGTGTGTGCATGTGTGTGTTTGAGTAAAAGTGAAGCTGTGGTTAATTTAGTGACACATGCCAAAATGACATTAATGACACCCATTTCACAGGAGCAGCGGGAGCAAACGCGCCATACACATAGCAGCAATCAACAAAACGCCGAACGTGAAGTGTAGTGAAAACAGCTAATTTCACACAAATTCGTAACAAATAGTTGACAATTTTTCTACTTCGAGCAAAATACCGCTGCTGCTGTTGCAACAAGCTGAGCGACAACATGTGGAAAAGCAATAAATTTTAAAGTGCACTTGAATGTTATGCGGTATTGCTACTCTCACACATACATACTTACATACATAGCGTACATACAGACTATAAGTGTGGGAGCTAGCGAAGGTTCCCAGTTGTTCCCGTTTTGCGGCGTGTTCGGCAGAAAAATGTGTTGGTTTGGCATTTTTGACTTTTACGGGAGTTTTTCAAACGCTCGCCATATATTTCAACCGCCATATGTATGTATGTGCGTATTTATTTTTTATATGTTTGTAGCTATGTATTATTTTGTAAGCCATAAATTGTGTAACGAAAGGAAATTGACTGTGTTGTAAATTTAGTATTTGTCAATTGATAATTTGTTAATTATGTCGATGGTGAGCATAACCGCAAAGGTCATTAAATTTCATGGCTCATTTAACGTGTGGCTGTGGATACATACTTGCACATTAGGCATTGTTGCTTTAATGCGCATTACTCACGGTAATTATATATGTATATGTATACATATATGTATATATTAGAAGTAACACGTAAAGTCGCTTACGTGGCCGAAACGCGTATAATTTACGACGCAACTTATTGAATAAGACATTATAAAAATTTAATTTGGTCAGTTCTAATTAAAGGCACATTTGAGGGCGAACAATTCATCATAAAATATACATATAATGTATATATGCAACTGTTGCTATCTACAAAAAAAAAACAAAAAAAAAAATTTAAGTTCGTTAGCATCGAAACTACAATACCTTTCACCGTTATATTTCTTATAGCATAAAAGTATATAAAAAGATGTTTATATTGGTTTGGATAGTTCAGTTTGTATGACAGCTATATATTATAGTGATCCGATCTGAAAAATATATACGGAGTTTATAGTGTTGCCTATGTAAATAATATATGCTAACTTCGTGACGATAGTTTGTTGAATAAAAAAGTATTCCATACAAGAACGTGATTTTCATCGAGCATTTTATATGGCAGCTATTAGCTATAGTTGTCCGATCCAAACAATTTCTTTTGTACATTTACAGCGATGTCTTAAGTAATAATCTATGCCAAATTTCGTGAAGATATCTTGTCAATTAAAAAAGTTCTCCATACAAGGACTTGATTCTGATCGGTCAGTTTGTATGATATTGTAGCTATATGCTATAATAACTCAATATCGATGATTAGAACAAACGAACAGCTGCTTGGCGAGAAAAGGACGCGTGCAAAATTTCAAATCGATATCATAAAAACAAAGGGGCTATTTATCATATAAAGGGTCTCTAACGTTTCCTTTTGGGTGTTTGAAACTTTGTGGCAAATTTAATATACCCTCTTCGGGGTACAAAAAAAGTACCTAATTTAATGTTACTAAAAAAGCTTCAGTATTGAAGCATTGTGGCATTACAAAGTTATAATTTCATGATTTATCACAAAGATATTAACACAATCAAACTTCCAGAGTTTCAAGCGGTTTTCTTCGGCTCCGTCTTTTACTCAACTCATGGTCTTCATATAAATATCAGTATGTAATAATCCCCAGCCTCGTCGAGTATGTACGTACAAGCTCCTACATTGTAGCCTATCCTCGTTTATGCTTGTAAATGCCATAAATCCTTTTATGATCCATTTTATCGCCTTTTAAGCAGCCTCTAGTGGCGCACTTGCGCTCAATTATTGAGCCATATTTGCGCCGTCCAAGTGCAACTACTTACTTACAACAACATTAATGCGCTCTCTTAATGGCCTCAACTATAATGGCGCGGCCATAAAACCGCTTGTGAAGCGATTGAATTCTTCTCTGCTCTGCTACACACTTACACTCTTTTACACTTCAGTTTTACACTCTTTATACAACATTTTCTGATATAAAATACCATTAGTTAAATATTACATTCATTTTACATCGCACTGTATATTGTTGTATTTTAAAAACTTTTCTTAAAACATTAATTTTTTTGTATATTTTTTCTCTACTCTGGTTTATTCTTTTCAGTTTGGGCCGAGACTGGAGATTTTCGTGATAGTCATAGTTCCATGACCGCTGTAGCAAATAGTTTGGATAGCACACATTTAAATAATTTTCAAACATCGTCATCGTCAGCGTTATCGAACCGTAATCGTGATCGTAAGGATGGTAAGTTGTTATAAGAAAACGAAATATAATTTTTTTTTGTATTCAAGGTTCACACATAACAGTTTGCATCACAATAAACTCAATATTTACAAAAACAAAAAGTTTTAAAATTAATTTTTTTTATATTAATTTATCTTTATAAATTTCGTATACGAAATGTTCAAGTTTTCTCATTAGATTTTAAGTAACCAAGATGGTATATGGGTAATTCCATCGTCATCGTCAATTATACATTTAAAACATTTACAATGAAAATCTTAGTTAATAGTTCCTCATGAAAAAAAGATTTTTTTTCTTTATAAAACGTACCTTTTGTTTATAAAATAAAAATCGAAAAATTCGACATTTACCTCATTGAGAAGCTGAGAAAAAGTCGTGAAAACTAGGCCGCCTAGTTATTTTTATAGTGAAACACTTTTCTTTAGCAAACTTGTGCTTTTTTCAAAAGTTGAAAGTTTCATAACTCCAAAAATTTTCATATTGAGTCGAAATAAAAAAATGCGTGTCCAATATTTCGCCTCAAAGCACACAAAACAAAAATGTTTTGTACGAAAAAAAAATTTTTAATATAAATTTTCGATATGATAAGTCTTTTTTCCGACTTTTAACAGTTCAAAGTTAGTATTGATAATAAGCGGAGTCTTCTCGCAAATATATATAAAATTATTCAGAGATCTTAGAGAAAAATGACATTTAACTTATCTCGACAAATTGTTGGAAAATCATACTAATTAACAGTTATTACTAACCTTAAGTTTTAAGAAGGGAAGTTCTAAAAATACAGAATTTAAAATTTTTCAAAGATAAAAAATATACAAGTAGAAAATTGTTTTCTGAAAGAAGTCAATAAAAATGCTTTGACTACGACTAACATTTAACATATCCGCATAAATATCATGAAAATCTTTGAGATGTTCACATATAAGATAAATATGTGCACATATATGTATGTATATAAGTATGCAAATATAAAATAGATAACATGACGAAAAGGCTAATTGTGTTTTTGTCTTCCACCAGAAGTGATTTTATCAAAATACTACAATAAATATGTTCAGTATCCACAAGACTTCTGACAAAAATAGAAGCACTGAGTACAATGTGAATTGAAGTCGACAAGTTATCATAATTTGACATTATCGAAGACTTTATGATTGTATGTTTATCTATTTTAATTCAAATATATAACTTATCATGCGAAATTTATGTCACCGCGATCAGTTGACATCTTTCAGTCATATACCTGCAGACAACTTGTGACTCGCTCTAATACCAGACTCTTACCACAGACACTTTCGTTGTGAATCATTTTATATTACGCCTGTACTTACATTTATATAGGAGTATTCCATTCAAATGCACATTTATTTATGGCATGAAAAAATTTATTTTTAATACATGTTGTATATTTGTTTATGCAATTGCTAACTTAGATAGTTTTATGTAATACAAGTGTAGGAAAGATCATGTAAATGGAATGGAACCTTTGATTTTAAAATATAATATATGTATATTAAATGGTAGGACTGCTTTTTAATGAATTTGAATAGTCATTCATATCTTTGATATTAATGAATAGTTTTTTATTCCTTTATTTCATTAATTTTGGACTATATCTGAATTATAAAATATATAATTTTGAAATTAGCTATAAATAACAACGATATATCAGCGATATATATAACATAAAAAACATATGTAGCCTTATTTTGGTTTTCATAATAACACAGAAAGTGTATAGAGACCATTCGAAGCTTTCTTGAAAATAATGTTATTCAATCAAAATAAATTAATATTTAAGAAACTTGTTGACCACTATTTTTTCAACCTATAACCGAATTTTAAGTCAATGAAATTGTATTTTCATTTATTTTCCAACTAAATATATATAAAAAAATATCCAAATCCAGGGTGGAAAATTTTTGAATGCAAAAAATAACAAAATTATATTCGCATGAAATTCATTGAAAAAGAAAGATAATAATAAAAATATGATAGGAAAAATAATTTGCGAGAAAACTGCGGCTGCGAAGACGAAGACAGGGGTGGCTGAATTTCTAAGGCAGAAAAATGGTTTTCTATTGTATGAAAAGTCCTATGAAAAAAAATTAAATGACAAAATATAAAACCTCAAAATTAATCTGAAAAATTCAAATAAATATTTTTTTTTACAATAAATCTTTTTTTTTACGAAATTTCGGGTAAATTAACTTTCTTATGCTCCAAACACTTTTTGACCTAAAATTCTATTTTTTCATTATATTTTGATTTATTATCGGAAAGGAACGCTAATTATCACGTCAATATATATATATACATTTTTTGAAATTAAAATATGATTTTTTTTCTTTGAAATCTCTACATTCTGATTACACAAAAATATATACATTACCGTGTAAAGTTTTCTCAGAAAATGAAAAAAAAAGTCCCTAAACTATTCAAACCAATAACCTTTTTCTTTGGTTTTCATCCAATTATGATTTATTCACTTTTAATCATTTTCAAAGGCCTTGGCACTGGTCTAAATTGAATTTGGGAGTATAAGAGGTCTATCATATTATGTTAGAATATATTCAACGCATGGCCTGCTTTTGTTTTTTAAAGCTATTGGGCTTAGATTGTTTGATATATTGAATAACATCTGTGGAGTTGGTCTTAAATTATATTAATAATTGGAAATCTTCGTAAAAGAATTGTGTCTGGATAAAAGGCGACGCCAACCCGATCATTAGATGTTGCATTCAATTAATTAAAATAATAAACAATTTTTGTTTTTAATAATTTTGTGGTAATAATCGAAGAGCTAGTAAAAATTTTGATCGATGATAAAATGCGGCTTCCAAAACAAAGTAGTTTTTATGTTTATTTAGTTTTATAATTTACACCAATATCGCATATAAAATCGAAATTATTAACAAAAAACTACTCGAACTTTCGATCATTACCTAAAACAAATCGATTAAAAAGTCGTGAAAAAATTCAAGCTGTTCTGTTTAGCCCTTCAGAAGCTATTTTCCTCACCGACTTTGAAGACAGCGTTTCGAGAGAAAAACGCGTTTAAAGCTTTGAAAGCCAATTATACTAAGTTAATAAATTATTACAAATGCAGGATTAACTTAAAATTTTCTGATCCATTCGATATGAAAAACCGATCAAGTAGATATAACACATTAAATTCCATACATGTATGTACCATCTATATACTATCGACTTAAGAATTAATACTTGAAACTACTTCACATTGATAATTTTCAATATATTTAAACCCGTTCAAAGTGTTTGAGATTTTTATCATACATCATATTTTCATAAAATTTGTTTGTTTTGTAAATTTTTCTCAACTTATACGCCAATATAAATTTAGCCGTCGGTTAAACGACACCTCAATGATTTTCAAATGCCAAAGGCAATTGGTGAAGCAATCTTTTGCATAAAATGCGCTGTCACGCCATGCCACCAAAACAAACAACTAACAGTCATTTATTTCGCGCGAATAATACGAATTAAGTCATACAATATACAGCAACTGCAACAATAAAAGCACACAGAAATGCATACCTACGTATACAAATACATGTAAATACATACTATAGGCACGTATAAAAATATATAAAAGAGTGTATATATGTATGAATGTATATATATATATATGCGCATGTGTGCATATTTACACCTACATATATATTTGCATTTACGCGTGTTCGTTTGTTTGCCAGCGCTTATCACCGCCAAAAATTTTTCCAGATAAAATTTGTAATTTATAACAATTTCATGCAACACATAAAAAATAAAGCGACGGTAGCTAACGCGCGTTAATGCCATTACCAAAAAATCACAATCCTTTGGCGGCGAAAACGCCTTTGATTTTGACTTTGATTTTCAGCATAAAAACACTATACAGCGGCACATACATACATACATATATACGTATATAGTATATGTATATAATCATTAATTTGCTGCTATTTAGTTATTAGTTTTTGTTGCTGCGCACACTTTGTTTAGCTGATTAGGTCAGGCGTAAAGCGACAAATTACTAAACCGTTATTGTTGTATTAGACGATACCAGGTAGCATAACGTGTAGCTCCATGCAACACCTAACGCCACCGTCGAACGGCGAATGATCGATGAGTTATATATTTGTTTACTTTTTTATTAAATTTTTTTCGGTTTTGTTGGTTACGATGAGGTGGGCTGAGCGGGCAGTGTGTTTTATGGTGAATAGCTTTGTAAAACGGGGGTACTTATGGCGCTGACAGCGGCAACGATTGAACTTTTCTGGGGAGTGAGGACAGTGAAGGTGATTTTAACATTTATTTATTCAAGGTATTCTAGAATTTATCTACATTTATATTTTCAAATACAATTACCTAAAACAAAAAAGAAAAAATATAAAAAAATACATACACCATATATGTTTGTGCTGTTATGCAGTGCTCTGTTAATACCATTTTAAGTTTCTGACTTCCTTCTGCCTATTCTTGTTGCTGAGTAATTTTTTTTCGTTTGCAGTGGTGAGTAATATTTGTCTGTCTTTAAATATTATTGTATATACATATAACTGTATGCACGATTTATACTGCTTATATTCGCATGCGCTCCCACAGACAATTGGTGATAATGTTAATACGCCTAATTCCGATCAGCTACTGTTTAGTGATTAACATTTTAGCCTTCATTTTGTGGCGTTTACAAAAAATTTTGAAAGCCAACTCCTTAGGTCGTGAATATGTGTGTATGTGTTTTTAGTAACGAATTCCCGACGGCATTGCTTATCATAAACAGTAAAATTGCTAAAAAAAGTTTAATCGAAAATGCGTTGCAGTAGACGTTTGTAATTCATATAACAACTTATTAGTGGAGAATTAAAAAATTTTAAAATATGCCGAGAAAGAACTGAATGCTATGTGCCACTCTAGTAGTTGTGCTCGTCATAAAATATGGTAGACTTCCCAAAACACTTCTGATAAAAATTACCAGACAAACTTTACGCATCGTAAACAAACAGCTGCCACACACACACTAATTGGCATATCGAGATGAAATTTCAGACGAAAATAAAAAAAAATTGTTTCAATTTAGGAATTTTTTTATCGATTCGGTTTGCGCGCGTAGTTTATATCGATCAGTCCGAATCATATTTGATCAGCGGTTATAACATCCGGTGTTCGATTATTTATGTTTTTTTGACAACTTATGAACGAAAAGTTTTTCATAGCAATTTTGAAGTACCGTTAGATTTCTAGTTAAACGACTATATAACTCAATTCTAAGCAGTCTTAATCCTTAAGGGAGAAATTGGTTTGGATGGTTCAATTTATTATTTTTTTTCCTAAAATATTTAACGTAAACTTCAAAGAAAAATCTCGACTCGTTCTTTGTAGATGTTCATAAGGGGTCGCTAATATCTTTATCTTTAATTTTAAAACGTTAAAGAACCAGCGTTTTAACATTGCACTTATATGTCCTCTGACTCATGCGAATTGTGTAGCGCTTCTTTATTTGTTACTTTCTTGCACGTCAAAAAATAACAATATTCTAATTCTCTTAGTTCCGAGCAACGCCCATGCCTTACATTTAATTTAAATAATCCTAATTAATATAAAGTTTTCAGTTTTTAGAATCAAAATAAAATTTTCATTATTGACAGTGTTTATAATTTGTTATTTAAGGCAGTATCATTGGTAAAGCTGCCAATAATCTGTAAAACAAAACTTGGTTGCACTGGGAATAGTGGTTCTACCACGTTAGAGAATAAAAAAGGCGAAACGAAGTCAGCTTTTATTAGCAATTGCACTTCGACTGTTTCTTCGGCTTGCATTCTTTATAAAATGCATCACCAAATCTATTTAAAGGCGACTTATAACTAGTGTGACCCTACAATTATCGAATAGAATCAAGACGGCCTCTACTTATAGGAGAAAAAATGGGTTTTCAAAATCTTACAAAAACCTCAGGACATACATATGAGATACTAAAACCTATTACCAAATATATCAAACAGTTTACTGGCGTAGAAAAGGAGTTCGCAAAGTAAAACGAAAACAACAACATGTTCACAGTGTTGATATTTGGGGGTAATTTCGGCGTATCCGCTTAAGAACATATTCTGAAAGGGTTTCACGGCTTCAAAAAACAAAAACAAAAATTTATACTCTTAGTTAATTATATAACATCTCTAGAATATTGTCCATTGTTGAGTATTACTCAAGTTGATCGCAGTAATAGTTTTGGAGATACAGCTTTGAAAAGCTGTGCGCTCGAGGTCAGGTATTGGTATAGTCACTCAAAACTTCAAACGCGTTTTTCACGAAACTGTGTTTTCAAAGTCGGTTGCCAAGATTTCTCACGAACTACTCAACCGATCTTGATGAAATTTTATACAGGTGTTTGAGATACAATTAACTCGCGCATGGACGAAGGATTTTTTTTCAATTAAAACTATTTTAAAAAAAGAAATGTCGAGCAAATTTTACCCGAATTTGTATTATGTTGGAAAAAGGTCTGCTAAAATTCCAATTTTAACTATTTTTTTCCTTCGTTCAAGCACGAGTTTATGATCTTAACGACAACACATTTTTTTTGTTTTCATTTTAAATGTTCCTGCCAAGAGTTATGCTGACAACGTGGACGCACCTTTTTTTCGAGCGGTCACCGGAAATGACGTTACAATGGCGGAGTTTTAATTTTGCTTTTTTGAAAATCTTAGAAATTATTCTTTAAATATGTATCTTTAAGACAGAAAAAAGTTGGAATAATATATTGCTAATCATTGAAAATAGGCCTTTTTTTACCCGACGAAACCCATGTAACCCCTCAAGCTTTGAAAAAAAAAAATTTTTTTTCCAAATTTCTGCCCTAGAATACCTGCTTAAGAAATCTAAATCCGTAATTAGAAAATCAAAAAAGTTTAAAGTAATACATTTGCCAAGGCTCGTTCTCAAAACCTCAACCACTTTAAAGTCGTCCCACACACGCTACATATCTTATGGTAGCACCTTCGACAATTCCCACCCTGTTTAATAACAAACAACGCATACATACATATTTCAGATAATAACTGTCGCCAATACCGATGGCAATGGCCAGCTAATAAATCGATTTTTGTACACACACACACATACAAATGTACGTACTCAATTTTTCTCACCTCGCTTGCATCGATGCGGAAGGCGCCGACCATACTTACTTGCCATCTTGCAATTAAACAATAACAACAATAATATCAACTAAGCGATGATAGAACTGTTAGTGCTGTCATTACAACGATTTATGATTACCTTATTACTTTGTTGATATACTTGTATTTACAATAATTGTTGTTGGCTGCTTGCTGTAATTGTTTGTTTGACAAGCGTCTCATGAGTGTTGGCGAGTGTCTCCGTTAAAAAGTGTCTGTCTGCTGGCACTTATGGCTATCTAAGTGAAAATAGTTTACATTACATGATATGTTTGTTGTTGTATTTCGTTTATGCCGCGCCGATAAACTACAACAAAAACAGATACAGAAAAAAACACGTGTAATCGATTTGTACACTTTAGCTAATAACAATTTGTACAATTTTGTGTCAACAAATTATTTAGTTTCCAAGTTGAGTGTGAATATGTGTGAGTGTGAGTATGTGTGTGTGTGTGCGCGTGTGGGTGCATTCAACTGCATGTAAGGTTCCCATTGATATACTTTTCAAGCGATACTAAATTGCAACTGCACACACTTATACACACACCTACATACATACACACATATATTTATTGCACATGCTTGCTTGCTCTAATATTTGTCGAGTTGACTCTTCAAATTCTACTCTACTCTTCTCTTCCTCGTCTTGTAATTTCAATTGCTTCTTGTTGTTTTTGTTATTGCAGGTAATCGTTCCGTCAATGAGACCACAATCAAAACCGAAAACATATCAAATTCCGGTCATGACGAACCGATGACAACCACCACAGATGAGCCGAAAAACGATAAGAAAAACAAACGTCAACGCCGCCAACGCACACATTTCACATCACAACAACTGCAAGAGCTGGAGCACACATTCAGCCGGAATCGATATCCGGATATGTCGACACGCGAAGAGATTGCCATGTGGACAAATTTGACCGAAGCACGTGTTAGGGTAAGTCTTCGAGGATTACAGAATTTCTTGCTTATATTACGCACATCAACTGATGAGATTTAGAGATAGATGAAACATTTTTGCAGTATAAAAAATTTTATTTTATTTTGTTAAGAATATTTTTTGACATCATAACTGAGCACATATTTAGACAATCATAAGTATAAAATATTTTATTTTTGTAATTAGAATTTTGATACAGTTGTGCAAATCTGAATTCATTAAGTTTCCCCCCAAAATTTTTTTTCAACCAAAAAACTCTTGTTTTGAAATGTGCTTTCTGACATTTCTGACGTAATCGATACTTTCACTTAAAAAGTTCCATGTACCTATATCATATACATATATACATACATATACATATGTTTGTATATATAAAAATTTCTTTGTATACTATACATATTTATATGACAGCTTAGGGATTAATAAAAAATGCCAATGCTAAAGTGTCGAATAGAAAATTTACTTTCACTAAGAACCAAACCAATTGAACAGAAAACTAATTTAATTGCCTTAAGATTTCAAATATTTATGTTTTCAAAATATAAATTTTTGCACACCAAACTTCACGCCCATCGCTTACCACAAACGAATCGAATCGTGAGAGCGCTTTAGCTAACGACAACTGGTCACTGCGTAGCCATAACTTTACACCAAGCTCCCCATTGAGAGTTTTACCTATAAAATTTGTGGAGTTTGCAACACTCACGAAGCGAAAACATAAAATCGAACAACGGTAAAATGGAAAAAAATTAAGCGCGGAACGAGTAACAAAGCCATGTTGCACGCCACAAGCGCGAAATGCCAATTTATGGCAACTTTACGGCCAACAAGCTGCAGCAGCAAGCAAAACATAAAAAGGCAGCGGAACTGCAGCAGTTTGCCGGCATTCTGACGAGGGGTAGAGGTAGCCTGGGAGGGCTGGGGAGCACAGCCACAACATTGGAAATGCGAAATAACACCGCAATGCGCGAATAACCGAAAATGCTGTCGTACTTTATGGTGAATATACTTACAACAAATACAACACGACAAACTGCCAGCGCAGCGGCAGAAGTGCGAAGCTGAGGCGGGTTAGCGGCTATAAAGGCTAGACTATGCAGCGCCAGCTTTGCAAATAAATTCCGAAAATGCACACAAAACCCCACAGCGCTTAATCTGTGCAGGCGTACATGCGTTGTTGTTGTTGCTGCTGATGTCCCAGCTGTTGTTGAGCTTATTTCGCGGTTATTTGCGCTGCCTTTTTTTCACCGGCCGTGTAGTAAAAATGCCAAAAACAACGAATTTACGAATTGGCAGCCATGATGCAACAGCAACAATAACACTAACACCAACAACTGTGTCTGTGTGTGTGTAAGCCACAACCACAACAATCAACATGGTGGCTTTTCAATGAGTATAACTTTCGGCCAGTGGCCGAGCGGCAGCAGCACAACACGAGCAACAGTAAAAACAACATGAAACACAATAACAACAACATAACGAAGTGGCTTGGCCTCTGCAAAGTTATTGCGGTCATTGTTCGTGCTTTGCGGCGTATTCTGCATGCGTACACCGTGTGTACTGTTATTTGCGCCAGCACATAATTTTGTCTACGCCTTCGACAATTCACCATAACCGACTACATATTTATGCATTTTTAATCGGTTCGGCATATACATAAACCGGTTAATAAATCTATTATAATATTTTATGTATATATGTACATATATACTTATGCATATGTAAATATGTATTTATAAATGCATATTCATATGGATTGTAAATATTATGTATATATGTATATATTGAACACATAAATTGTTGATTTTCTGATTTAATATGCACTCTCACAGACTCTTCCATTGCAACTTTCACATTTATAATATACAAACGTAATATATGAGCAATGCGTGACTCTGAAAATTATTGCTCATTTGCGGTTTTTCGACAAAATGGCACGGCGTTGTTATTAAGTGCGAATATATTTATATTTTCCTCATTCATATGGGTCGAAATGGTTTTTGTGGATTTTTTGAAAATTAAGAAGGGAAAAAAATTAAAAGCTATAAGATAAAGAAAATAATATAAGAAATGATTATTTATAGTATACTTTATAGCTGTATATTAAGGGATAAGGCTAGTCTATAGCCCTCAAGAACGGCCTTTGACAATTTATACCTGGTAGAAAGAAAAAGATATGTATTTGGGAGTATACAAAAGATTTTGGTATCGAATGGCGGCTACTGGGCCAATAATCGAGTTCAAGAAAGCATCGACAGGCGACGGTGACTCTAAGAGCGCGTGTTATATAAGAAGTTACGTGTTTATAAACAGGAAAAAACGTTAAATACGGTTGCACCGAAACTACAATACCCTTCACAGTTGCAAAAGATTTCTCACAAAAACTTTGATCGTTCAATTTGCATGACAGCTATGTGTTATAGTAATCCGAACTGAACAATTTTTTTGGAGACTGCACCATGACCCTAGACAAAATAATCCATGCTAAATTTCATAAATATATCTAGTCAAATAAAAAATATTGAACCGAACGTTATATAGTGTTCGGATATCGGCTGTTCCTACCAATATGCAGCTTCTTGGTCAGAAAAGGGCAGGTGCAATATTTCAGATCGACATCTCAAAAACTGAGGGACTAGTTTGCGTCTATACATACGGGCATAGCTAAATTGACTCTGCTCAAAAGTAATTGAAGTATTTACGTGTGATATTCTCCGAGAACCATTGTTGTCCGTTTCGAAAAAGTTGGCTGACCTAAAAAGTAGTCGCAAAAAAAATTTGTTTTAATATTCCAACAACTAAATAATGGTTTTAAAAGCCTAAAGTACAGTTTGAGTCAAGAGAAAAATAATTTTAAAATCCTAAACCAAGTTAATTCCATAAAACTACATAAATATATTTGCCAAATGCTATGCTCGTTTTCAAGGTTCACATTAATCATGAACTATTTTATATCAAATTTTTGAATCTTTAGTTCTGATTTCTGAAATATTTCGACTGTTAAATATTTAGTATAAATAATAATTATTTGGCGATAATTTAGAACAGTCTTTATGTACAAAGGTTTTAACTTTTTGGTATCAATGTGGTTTATTTGTCAAAACCATGCTGAACATGCAACACAGAGCACGAAGTCTAAATTGGGAACACTTAAACTGAATGAGGAGATGCCATAATCTTTGCCTATTTTGGAAACAGCTCTATTACTAGTGGTACGACTTTTAAGAGTTCGGTGTATTTGCGGTAATCTGTAGTAATATGAAGCTCCTATTGCAGAATATATTTTTATAAAGTATACTGAGAACTTTTATTTAAATAAAAATGAAAAAAGTTTACTTCGGCTAAACTAAAGCTATAATACACTTCACAGCTGCATTTATTATAGCAACTTTAGGTATGAAAACGTAACCAGCGAACGGTTTGCAATTAATAAAAAGCGTTTTGTTAATTCTTTCTAGCCACGTTATTTGAAATGGAATGAATTAAATATGAAGATCTTTATCTTGATTTTGAACAGTCAGTTTGTATGACAGCTATATGCTATAGTGGTCCGATATCGGCCGTTCCGACCAATGCTCAGCTTCTTAGTGAGGAAAGGGCAGGTGCGAAGTTTCAGATTAATATCTCAAAAACTGGGGAACTAGATCGCTTATATACAAACAAACAGACATACGTACATAGACAAATCAAATCAGCTCGTCACACTGATCATTTATATATGTATGTATACGTTTTATAGAGTCTCCTAAGTTTTCTACTCGGTGTTACAAACTTAATACCTATACCATGTGCAGGGTATAAAAATGTGATCCAAATCGAACAAGATATACAAGTATTGCCTGAGGTGCTAATCTATGAGATCGTAGCAGAAAAAACAAAAAAAAATTATCACATAGATGTAATTTTAGCTACATATTATATAAACCGTTGCTTTAGATCAATTAAGCAATTGAGAACCAGTTTTCTCTATTAATTCTTTCACTTTTTATTACATTTTTACAAATTTCATATGCAGATATATTGAAATTTTCATTAATTCACCGATTTTTCCTTTATTGCATAAGGAACTACATTCAGCTACTATTCTAGCATTTGTTTCCACTGGCAAATACACCTATCTTACATCCCTTTTGCAGTCGCATTCATATACCTTTACAGAGTTGTTGCACCCCTCGCTCTTCGGCTTGATGTGCGTGTATTTTCCGGTGGCGTCAATGTTTGCACGCACTTAATCCTTTTGTATGCAATATCTGATAAATTTTATTGCCGCTATTATTGCAGTCAAAGATTCATTTACATTAGGCAGATCGAACACAAAAAAAGTGGGATGTCTACACAGAACTCTACAATACATGCACATATGTATGTGCATTTATGTATATATGTGTGTGTGTCTAACTTGCTCAGTGCCTTTTTGCATTTTCGGTTGCTGCAACATATTAGATCATTAATTTCAATGTGGTTTCTAATTCATTAAACTATACAGAGGGTCGTCAGATCACACCAAAAAAGGGGTGCTGCCAGCGACAAAGGGAGTAAAACTGTAAACTGGGTATGAAGTACGGCGACTTGCCGCCTTTCTATCTGCCACAGTGTTGACAAATTACCCACCGCTGTTTTGTTTTGCATTTGTATAAGGCATATTATTGCCACATTTTGCAGCCCGAACTCCCAGTGGTCTTATCAGGCGAGGTGAAGAATCTGTAAAAATGTGCGTATGCTTGTGTGTAATATGGGCAATGGGTCCATAAAACAGGCTGTCTTATGATTTGGTGCATACTTTTTACCGTTATGTGTGTAATTTTGTCGCTTTTAACGGGAGTTGACTTGTCATTATTTGGAAAATATGTTTTTATTTTTGGCATTTTTCGGAACACATGTTCCAATTGACATAATTTCGCATCATAGACTTGTTACATTGATACAAACACATATATACATACACAAAAACCTTTAACTGAGTAAAATTACGCTCATTGCGGTTTCATGGGGTGCAT